CTAGGAGAATCACAAACCTGCATTCAAAAGTGTGGGGAAATCAATGGGGAAATCCCTCCACAATTGGCCAAAAAGTCATCCCAATTCAAAGATTATATAAGAAAAAGTAATATACTGTGAACCATGATCGCCTACATCCTAAAGGGACAAATATGTATGTGTGTGTGTGCGTCCTTATGCAGTTTTCTGACCAGGTGTTGGTACAGGCCGCCCGCCCGCCCGTGGTATTTATCAATCTGTCTGTGTGGACGGGTTTATACACACTAAGACATGAGACAGCTTACACGGCGGTTTATTTTGGCTCGTGAAGACCGCAGACAGGGAAGGGCTACAAAATAACACTAGAAAGTCGGCTGGGGACGAGAAAGAAATAAAGAACGGAGAAAAGGTGGCTGTGTTTGGTGTATTGTGAGGGTGTGAAATGTTGGTCTCTTCCAGATGGGTAAGGTGGCGTCAAACCGGGCTAACATCATGGAGACTGTCTGCCGCTTGTTCGTGTGTAAGGACAGCTTACTTGCTGACTATGAGGAGGCGAAAAAAGGGAAGGAAGGGTCGGTGGCTGGGCGCTCCCGTTTGTAAAAGTCTTTAGACGTTGTTATCATTGTTATTGTTGATGTAGATGTGTGGAATCTTGAGGGCACTCGAGGGTAATGTCGGAGAGTCAGTTTGTTTGTTTTTCTTGACAGGAGAGTTCCTCCAAATTTTTTTTTTATTTTGGTTGGGAGGGGAGAGCTTTTTCTCTGTGTAATTCTTCCTCTATCTCTTTTTATTTTTGAGTTGCGTCTAGATATTTTGTTAAAAAAAAAAAAACGTTTGTTAGCATTTTTCTTCATTTTCTTCCTTGTTATTCCTCGTTCTTTTTTCTCTCTTTCTCTTCATTTCACTCCTTATCCTCGCTTCTGCCTTTTCTTTCTTTTATTCTCTACCCTTACATTTCATTGTTTCTCTCTCAATTTCTGTTCTCTTTTCACCTCTACTTCTCTTTCTCACAGTCTTTCTAATTTCAGTGTTCACTGCATTTGTCTCATAAGGACTCTATTTGTGTATCTCCTTTTTTTCTTTTTTTTTTCCTTATATTTTTTCTTTCTATATTTTTAATTTTTTACTCGTTTTCTCTCCAATATTTTTTCTCCGTCTTTTCTTTTTTGCGTTTCTCCTGTTTTTTTTCTTTGTTTTTCTCTCTCTCATTTTTCTTTCTGTTTTTCTCTCTCTCTATCTTTCTTTTCTTTTCGTTTTTCTCTCTATCTTTCTTTTCTTTTCGTTTTTCTCTCTATCTTTCTTTTCTTTTCGTTTTTCTCTCTATCTTTCTTTTCTTTTCGTTTTTCTCTCTATCTTTCTTTTCTTTTCATTTTTTTTCTGATTTTTATCTCTTTCTTTGTTTCTCTCTCTTTTCTTTCTGTTTCTCTCTCTTTTCTTTCTCTCCCTCTGCTTTTTCCCTCTCTTTCTTTTCTTCTCTCACTCTTTTCTTCTCTCACTCTATTTTTCTTTCTGTCTCTCTTAGTCTTTTCTTTTCTTCTGTCTCTCTTAGTCTTTTCTTTTCTTCTGTCTCTCTTAGTCTTTTCTTTTCTTCTGTCTCTCTTAGTCTTTTTTTCTTCATTCTGTTGCTCTCTCTCTTTTCGTTCTGGTTCTCTCTCTCTCTCTCTCTTTTCGTTCTGGTTCTCTCTCTCTCTCTCTTTTCGTTCTGGTTCTCTCTCTCTCTCTCTTTTCGTTCTGGTTCTCTCTCTCTCTCTCTTTTCGTTCTGGTTCTCTCTCTCTCTCTCTTTTCGTTCTGGTTCTCTCTCTCTCTCTCTCTCTTTTCGTTCTGGTTCTCTCTCTCTCTCTCTCTTTCGTTCTGGTTCTCTCTCTCTCTCTCTCTCTCTCTTTTCGTTCTGGTTCTCTCTCTCTCTCTTTTCGTTCTGGTTCTCTCTCTCTTTATGTTACTCTCTCTTTATGTTACTCTCTCTTTATGTTACTCTCTCTTTTTGTCTTTCACTGTCTTTTTTTCTTTCTTTCTCTTTTCTTTTCTCTCTGTACTTTACTCCCTCTTATTTCATGTTCCTTTTCCCCAGCACTGATTAAATAAAACTATAAGAAAAACTATCTCTATTCATAAAAATTCACTTTCAAATACTGATAAGGACACTGCATTCTGGCACCATTTCCTTCAGTTTCCCCTTCTCGGAAGTGGTGCTGTTTATAAGCAGAGATCTGGTTTATGTGAGGATAATCTTTCTTAAATCAAATTCCAAATCCATCCCACTCAACTTTTCTAAAAAATCACTTATACTCCCTTCTAATGATTTTTTTTTCATATTGGTCAGTACTTGAATCTGCCTCTCTGAAAAAAAAAAAAGATGTGAGGAAGGAGTTGTCAGATGTTTAATGTTAAAAGTGGGTGATAAGTTAGATGTTGATTCTGTGCGTCTGTAGGCTCATTTGAATAGTGGAAGATGCTTTCCAGAAATTAAGCAGAGTCTTAAGAAACAGGAAAATTTTATTAGAAAAAAAAAAAGAAATGTGCATGTAATATCTGCTCTCTTATATGGCAGTGAATGCTGGCCAATCTCCTCACAGATTAAGAAGAAACTTGAGACAAGAGAAAAGTGGTTCTGCAGAAGGATACTGAGAAATACTATGGACTGAACATGTAAGCAGCAAGGAAGTTTTAGAGAAAATGAAAACAAAAAGGACAGTTGAAATTTCTGGAGCACATAACGAGAAAAGAGGGCTTGGAAAATTTAACACTTACAGGACATGTTAAAGGCAAAAGGGGCAGGAGGTCAATGAATAAGCTAGCTAATGAGCTTGTGTAAATGATTGTCAGAACAGGGATTAGGAGATATAACAAAAAGACAATCCTTATTTAGAGCTACAAAGGACAGGAAACTGTGGAGAGCCATGATCACAAATCTTGTGAAAGGACATGGCACATAGAAGAAAACTTGTCTAAATTATTCAATGAAACTTGCCTCAATAATATATATATATATATATATATATATATGAAATGGACAAAGTCCGACAATTATTTTAAGACATTTTTATGTTTATACATTCTTTTTATAGATACAAATATTTAAGTAAATGCTCTGTTTATAATAAACAGTATGAAACAACATTTACCAGCCTGAATGTCCGAGAAATTTTCACAGAAAATATTCGTCCTCCGATAGGATTCGAACTTGTATCCTATACGGAACCGTCATTTAGCTTGACGTGCCTTTAACTGATTTCATGAGATTTCACAGAAAAAGTCGGAGGACGAATATTTTCTGTGAAAATTTCTCGGACATTCAGGCCAGTAAATGTTGTTTAATACTGTTTATTTTTTTTATTTTTTTTTTTTATTTTTGCCCAAGCCTACAGGCTCGGATTCCCTACTTTAAACTCAGCCTTGTGCCACACCTTGCTGCATGGGGCAGTGGGTAAATAATCATACACACAACCCATACACCCAATTAAAAAGCAAAAATAAAAATCATCCTTGATAATGGGTAAAAAGTTTAGCCAAAAGTGCTTGGAATTACAGAACATTTGGACAGTTCCTACATGCTCTGTGTCTAAAAAAGAAACACAAGACAAATAAAAAAAGCTTAATCGCAATACCTTGTCTGTCATTGTTAATGTATCACACACATATATATATATATATAATAAATTAATTGATTTAAAATATGGTTATTCCGCTACACAGTTCTAACCATGTTTCAAAAATGGAAGGTCCAAATTTAATTTTGTAATTAGATTAAAGACATTAGTTCCATTTCATTCTCAAGCGAATTTTGGAGTAACTTATAAAATTACTGGGTTTTAAAGTTAGCAAAAATCATAATTCACGTTTCCAAGGAAACAGAGAAATTCATTTCAACCAGACGGGGGGGAGGGGTTGCGTATTCATTATCTCTGTATTTTGATGTATCAGTTTTGGTAAGGGGTAGGGATGTATTCTTTAATGAAATCTGACATCCGTTAAATGCATGTCGTCTGGATTTTTTTTTATTTTTTATCTTACTGTTCTTTCATTTTATTTATATATACATAGAATTAATAAAAGTAAAAACAATTGTCACTTAACTGATTGATCATCATCAGCATCCCGTTTCCAGAGTTTCATAGACGGGGCCCATCTGTCCACTCATCAGGGGATATCAGTAACTGACTGCTTATATTTCTTCTTGATTTTTCCTTTTTATATGCATTTATCACTGGGCCCTTTTTTTTTCTTTTTTTTTATAATGTATGTGTGTGTTTGTGTATGTATGCTCTTCTGCAGGAATGTGCATATATGTAGAATTTTGTGATTATTTATCCTTGTGTTTGAAATTTTGCATAGGCAGTGTGGGCATGGGGACTGACAGTTTCATGCCTTGAGAGAGTGTTGCATAAGAAAAATGGCTTTAGAAACCAACCTGAAATCCAATCCTAAACAGGAAACAAAGGGATAACCCTCTACTCCTGTTCAAAAGACTCGGTAGGAGTGTGAAATCCAAACTGTTTTGCATACGATAAACTCCTGATGCACTGCCAACTGATGCCAGCAATGCATTAGAGGTGCCCCAATCATACGTTGGCTTATGGGATTTGATAAAAATTATATTAAAGTGTATGCAATGTTTGAAAGTGTCTATTTTGAAGATCGTCTCACTGATTCTGATCGGTTAGCCGTGTGTGCATTTGTAACATTTGATTCATCGGTTCAAGCCTCAGTTCATCCACTTTGATAGAAATGGTTCATTTCTTTTTAGCTTTGATGTAAGGCCGCCTTTGTAGAGTAAAAACATGTTTGATTCCACACCCCTTACCCAGCTTCTGTGTTGGCAACAGCAAGTGATAAACAACTTTCTCTTCTTTCCACCTGACACAAACTCTCTCTCTCTCTCTCTGTTTTCTTTCTGTAAATTCATTCTTTTTCTTTTTCTCTATTCTCATTTTCACCTTCTTTGTCCTTCTCTTTTCTCTTTGTCCTTCTCTTTTCTCTTTGTCATTCTCTTTTCTCTTTTTCATTCTCTTTTCTTTTTTCTATGAATTCCATCTTCTACATTCTTGTTTTTGTCTTGTCATTCTCTTCATTCTCTTTTCTCGTCTCTCTTTATTCTCTCTCTTTTCTCGTCTCTCTTTATTCTCTCTCTTCTCTCGTCTCTCTTTATTCTCTCTCTTCTCTCGTCTCTCTTTATTCTCTCTCTTCTCTCGTCTCTCTTTATTCTCTCTCTTCTCTCGTCTCTCTTTATTCTCTCTCTTTTCTCGTCTCTCTTTATTCTCTCTTTTCTCGTCTCTCTTTATTCTCTCTTTGCTCGTCTCTCTTTATTCTCTCTCTTCTCTCGTCTCACCTTCTCTCTCTTCTCTCTCTTTCTCTCTCTTCTCTCGTCTCTCTTTATTCTCTCTCTTCTCTCGTCTCTCTTTATTCTCTCTCTTTTCTCGTCTCTCTTTATTCTCTCTCATTCGTCTCTCTTCACCTCTCTTTTCTCTTCACTCTTCACCTCTCTTCACTCTTCACCTCTCTTCACTCTTCACCTCTCTTTTCACCTCTTTTCACCTCTCTTTTCTCTTCACTTCTCTCTTCTCTTTTCTCTTCCTTCTCATCCTCCTCTCTTCACCTCTCTTTTCTCTTCACCTCTCTTCACCTCTCTTTTCTTTCTCTTTTTCTCTTCACCTCTCTTTTCTCTTCACCTCTTTTCTCTTTCACCTCTTTTCACCTCTCTTTTCTTCACTTCACTCGTCACCTCTCTTTTCTCTTCACTTCTCGTCACCTCTCTTCACCTCTCTTTTCTCTTCACTTCTCGTCACCTCTCTTTTCTCTTCACTTCTCGTCACCTCTCTTCACCTCTCTTTTCTCTTCACCTCTCTTTTCTCTTCACCTCTCTTTTCTCTTCACCTCTCTTCACCTCTCTTTTCTCTTCACTTCTCGTCACCTCTCTTTTCTCTTCCTTCTCTTTTTCATTAACATTTTTCTGCTTCTTATTCTCTTTATTTCCTTTTTCCTCTTTTGCATTTTCCTTTTTCTTCCTCCACTTTTCTCCTCTTTCTTCTTCTCTTTCCTTTTCTCCTTTTTTTCCTTTTCTTCCCCTTATTTCATTCAGTCCCTTTCACTTTCCCTTTACCATCCTTCAAGTTTTCTCCTTCCTCTCATCTCTCTTTATACTCTCTTTTGTCTTATTGAGTTCTTTTTCCACCCTCACTATATCTCATTCTGTTTCATCTTTCCTTTCTCTCTCTATCTTTTTTGCATTGCTGCTGACCTTCATTTAATATTTACCCTTTCATACCAAGAAATTCAAATCTGTTTTGTTTTTGGATAGTGACAAAACACACTTAGCAAACATGAAATCCCACAATCCATCTGTTTACTGTTCTTTAGTAGCCTCACGGATATCTACATAAATATGAAACATGGACCTTGTTTATATCATATACATGCTAGCTATTATCTTAATCTTGGTTGTTGTTATCCGAACATGTCAAACATTTTGCTCTCTGGATGCAGAATTAGTAAGCCAAATTCCAATTCTTGCAGTTGTGTTTCATTCACTCTATTACCCTTAAGAAAGGCATTTTTTTCCTCCCCAGCTATGGGTTAAATAGCAGAGATTGGGCTCTCTAACCTTGCTTGAGGAAGAAAACTTGAAAATCTAGACTGCGACAACAGCATTTGATAGATTCTAAATACAAGCATCTGGCAATAGAAATTACGAGAATGTGACATTTAAATTGATTCATTATTCCAGTAGTAGTAGGAGCACTAGGAGTGATTGAGAAGAATGCTGAGATTAGGAAAATCTTGTGAAACACATTGTGTTGGTGGGTACAGCACATAGACTTCTTTCAATCAAATGTGCTTAATAATTTTTGAAGATAGACTTTCTTTTACCTCAGGTCAAAGGTGAACGACTTGGTCAATGGCTGTATCAAAGAGTAAAGCTGAATAAATAATAATAATCTTAGTATAATTCTGCTTGTCCTTCCCTTGGTTAGCTCGACCCTTATGTTCTGCAAATACCTCATGAATAATGGACTTTTCCAATTTGAGTGAGGGGAAAGACAAAAAAGACATATCAGAGATGCTACTTAGTTCCTGTGAGAAAATAAAAGAAAGAAAAACAAAAAAGGAAGATAGAACTGTTTAACATCTTTTTCATCAAAATAGAAACAATTAATAATTTCGAATCTTTTCATTTGTACCCCCTTACTTCTTAAAATAAAAACTAGCATTCATATTTATGATTGTCATTTGTTATTTTAAGTTGTTAAGCTCAAATATTTAACAACGTGATAGGGAACTTTTATGGATATTTTATTCAATGATTAACTGAAGAATTGAGATTCATCAGAAAAAGAAAATAGGAAAAAAGGTATTTCTAGTAAATAATAATGTTTTTAAGGGACATAAATCATATCTTATCATGCCATCTGATAAAAAAAAGTTTCAGTGAAAGAATTTGATAAAACTCTCCAACTAAAAGTAGAAAAAGAAATTATAAGAATGTGGTATTTTAACACAACCATTATTCCAGTAGTTTTAAGAGCACTAGGAATGATTAAGAAAAAGACTGATACACAGATTAAGAAATTAATAGGAAATCCATGAAATGATTGTGGTCATGAATACGACCCCTAAACTTAGAAAAAACTTGTTCTGTAACTTCCTAATCTGAAAAAGAAAAAAAAATGATTTAGCTTAGATCTTAGGTGAAAGATTTTCTGCTCCTTAATGTTTCTATCTGCTTATCCCTTTCTTTCACTTTAGTTTTTCCTTCTTTCCCCCTCCCCTCTCTCCATTCTTTCTTTTTCTCTCTCTGATTTTCCTTTCATTCTCTTTATCTTTTTACCTTTTCTTTCACTTCCGTCTTCCCCCCTCTTTCTTTCTTTCTCCGTCTTCCCCCTCTTTTTTTTCCTTCCGTCTTCCCCCTCCTTTCTTTCACTTCCGTCTTCCCCTCCTTTCTTTCACTTCATTCTTCCCCCTCCTTTCTCCCCTTCCCTCTATCCTTTCCATTTTCTCTCTAATTTCTCCTTACTCCTTTCTTTCACTTCTGTCTTTCCCTCTTTTCTTCCTCTCCCTTTATCCTTTTTTCTCTAATTTCTCATCATCCCTTTCTTTAATTTCTGTCTTCCCTTCCTTTCTCTTTCTAATATCTCTATCCTTTCTTTTTTTTTTCTTTCTCCATATATTTATCCCTTTTCTTCACTTCTGTCTTCCTTTCCTCCTCTCTTCTATTTTTCTCTCTAATTTCTCCATCTCCTTATTTCTTTCTCTCTTCTTTTCTCCTCCTCCGCCCACTCCTACCTTGATCTATCCAATTTGCAGTCTGTTCGGAATACGAATGCATGTAAAGTTGGAAGAACAACAAAGATGGTTACAATGAAACAAAATCGACTCGCATGAATACAATTGGAATTAGAGCTTAAATCTTCCCATTGATCTGTAACAATTACTTGCTTTTTCTTCCTTCCGCTCATAGTTGGCAACTGTTTTCGCGATATGGAACCATGTCCAGGATTAAGGTCACACTGGTGCTACAACTTGGACATGACTGCCCATGAGTATCTTTTCATTTATTTGTTGCATTTTTTTTCCTTCCTTCAATTTGTTGCAGTCGTCGATACAAGTTTAGCAGAATGCTGTCCGATGTTAGCAACTCTTTGGGGGGGGGGATTGAGTGGTACTTGCCTGCAAGTGATCTCCTGCTGCCGACCGTGTTGTCACTGCAGTTCTGGCAATGCAATTCAAAACGGCACCATTTATGGACTGGGGAAAGCAAAGTCGGAGATGCTTGTGTTTTCATAGTTTTGAATATTGCTGAAAACTTTTCATCTTGATACAGTATTAATCTAATATAGAATTTTGGTTCTAGCCATATTGTTTGGATCTTTCTCTCCCTTTATCTAATCTCGCTCCACCACCCAGATCTCTCCTTATCTCTCTATTGCTACCTGGCTCTCTTTCACTCTCTCTCTTTTTAACCTGCCACATTCTCTATACTCTCCTTTTTCCTTTCAATATTACTCTCTTTTTTTATTTTTATATATATATATATATATATATATACACACACACACACACACACATGCACTTTTTCTATCAAGGTTCTATATTGCTATCTGGCTCTTTCTTTGTCTTTCTTTCTCTCTTTAACCTGCCACATACACTCCTTCTTCCTATCTACATTACTCTCTCATTTTATATATATATATATATATATATATATATATATATATATATATATACACACACACTTTTTTATCAGTCCACTTTAAGCAAGGGTTCTGTATTGCTACCTGGTTCTTTCTTTTCTCTTTTAACCTGCCACCTCCTCTTTACTCTCCTTTATTCTTTCTGCTACTCTCTCTCTCTCATATATATATATATATATATATATATATATATATATATATATACACACACACATATATATATATATATATATATATATATATATATATATATATATATATATATATATATATATATACATATATATATATATATATATCCAACTTATTATGTATATTTACTAATATATACTTATAGCTCTGTTTCTTAACATTGAGCAGTATATTTCTAACACCTGAGGAAGAAATATATTTATATGTACATGCAAGTGTATGTACATGTATGTAGATTTTTTATCCTACCTATTCTTTTTATATATATATATATATGGGTGTTTGTTTTTTCTCACATTTGGATATATATATATATGTACTTATTTTTTTTTTTTTTTTTTAACCAATTCACTCCTGGCAAGGATAGTTCGCTACAATGTGCACGGCATAGTGAGTCTTGGTTCTGACGGTTAGAACTGGTGGAACTAATGAATGTAGTTTGTCTGAGCACTTTATGTGGAAATAGAAATAAAGCAGCAAGAGACTGGTGACATAATAAATAATTCATCACCCACAAGGATGTGGAGAGAAAGACTGAAAAAAAAAAAACAACAGTCTTGCTTGATAAATAACCTTTAATTTCTAATGCCGCTAAAATGCACCGAGTTACTGAGAGTAAAAGAGAATGAGAAGACTTTAGAAGACACCGGAAACAATCTTAAATAGGAAAGAAGGGATAAACCTCTACTCCTGTTCACGAGATGTATAATCTTCTCTTCTGCCTCGACTCTTGCTATCTCTCTTTTTTAAGCTCATTACCTCTCTTTCTCACCAGTTATTCTTTCTTTTGTTAAACTCCTTACTCTTTTCTCTATCTATTCTGCTCCCTCTCTTGCTATCTCTCTTTTGTACTGCCATTATTTCTTTCTCTCTCACTTTGATGATTCTCTCTATAAACAAAAGTTAACTTCACATTATTTCTCATCATTGTTTCTCACATTACTTACTCTCACACTTATTGCTCTCTCTCTCTCTCTCTACTTGGCTCTCTCTCTACTTCTATTAGCTATCCCACTCTCTTACAGGCTTGTTCTTTCTTTTTCATTTTGTTCTCTCTTACTCATTAATTTCACTCTTTCTCCCTTTCAATCTCTCATTATCACTTTCTCATTCCCCTCTCTCACACTTATTGCTCTCTCTCTCTCTTACTCTCTCTTCCTACTTGGTTCTCTCTCTTCACTTCTATTAGCTATCCCACTCTCTTACAGGCTTGTTTTTCCTTTTCATTTTGTTCTCTCTTATGCATGTAAGTCTCTTTCCTGTTCATTATCACTTTTCCTCATTCTTCTCTCTCTCACATTTATTGCTTTCTTTTTCTCTCTCTCTCTCTCTTGTTATCATTCTCTTGCTCTCTTTTGCAAGTCTTGCTCTCTCTCTCTCTTGACTCTCTTTACATTTCTCCCTCTCTCTCGTAGGCTTGTCTTTTCCTTTTCTCTCTCCTCTCATTACTTCTACATTCTCTCTGCCTTGCTCAGAGCGATAGATTGAAATAGGTAAAATAGCTAACATTACCTTTTACTCTTGCTTTATCACTCAGCTAAGGGTGGAAGGTGGGGTGCCTGTTAAGTAAGTGTTAGACTAGGTGAGAAATCTGCACTTGGTGACCTGGCATCCAGTGTTCAAACCCCCCTCCTTGCCAAAGCAAAGGAAGCATCAGGAATGAAACAGGAACAAAACCACTCAAAATCTCATTTGGCTTGAACGGGTGCAGGGCAGACAGGCTAAGTGAGATCAAACCAGAGATGACGGAAGATGATAAATGACAAGTACTTTCATTACTTTGCAGCAGTTTTCCTGCAGTATAAGATTGGTCTCCATGGTTGTTACCCCCTTGATACCACCACCTTAATAATCACTTCTTGATACATTAAATTATTTTATTCCTAACCTTTACTTCCTGTCTCCTTGCCCACCCTTGTTGATACAGCAGCAATGGCCATTCCTCCTTATCGTAATTGCCAGTATCATCATTGACTGCTATTGTCTTTTTTGCTGATAGCATTCCGGATCAGTTGCCCTCGGAAAATGTGCTGGGAACTTCAAGAAGATGTAATCAAGGTAGAAACTTTGAAATCATGTATAGCAGATCATTTATTGAGAAAGTTGCCAGGCTAATGCTTATGGAATGAAGTGAAATTAAACCCAAAACCAAATGAGATGTTTAAAGAAATTAACATATAAGCTAAATCATGAGATCAGTAGGTCAAGTGTGAATATTAGTTCTATATAGAAATTTTTGAGAGAGAACAAACAGCTGGAATAATCACTACCTTGAATATCTTCTGTGACACAGGGGACAAAAGCATGAGTCAAGCACATCTAGTTTTGCAGAAACTGCAAGTTCAATCCCAGTATTAGGCAGTGCAGTAATATGCATCAATTTAGGGAAGAAAGATACAGCATTCTATCAGAGTAGAAATATTTCCAATCAAAATATATTTAGGTCAGTTCTCATTGGTCAGACATGGGTCACATGCATTAAAACCATAGATAATTTTATGTGTGTGTAAGTTTGTGAAGATTCTTGTATGTCTAAGTGGGCATTGGATGGTAATGTGCATTGGTAATTGTGTATATGTGTCTGTCTAGTGGGAGTTCTGATGTCCTCACTTTTGAGTAGTCAGTATGTGCACTTGGGTGTCACATTGTTCTAATTTATGGCTGACCTCTTTAAGCATGTATTCTTTGTATTTGAGATATACGTGTGTGTGTGTGTCTGATTGAATAGATTACAAACATTATGTCTGCTTATTTTTGTCACAATCCTTTTATATTAAAAAAAAATAAGCAGACATAATTTTTGTAATTCAATCAGACATGCCTAAAGGAGAATTTCATATCTATCTCAGTCTGTTCATGTCTGTCAATCTATCTACCTCAGTCTGTTCATGTCTATCTATCTATCTATCTATCTATCTCAGTCTGTTCATGTCTATCTATCTATCTATCTCAGTCTGTTCATGTCTATCTATCTATCATCTGTCTCATCTCTCTATTCAGTCATGTCTATCTATCTATCTCAGTCTGTTCATGTCTATCTATCTATCTCATCTCAGTCTATCTATCTATCTATCTATCTCATCTATCTCAGTCTGTTTCATGTCTATCTCATCTATCTATCTATCTCCATGTCTATCTATCTATCTATCTCAGTCTGTTCATGTCTATCTATCTATCTCAGTCTGTTCATATGTCTATCTATCTCAGTCTGTTCATCTATCTCAGTCTGTTCATGTCTATCTATCTCAGTCTATCTCAGTCTGTTCATCATCTATCTATCTATCTCAGTCTGTTCATATCTATGTCTATCTATCTCAGTCTATTCTATCTATCTATCTAGTCTGTTCATGTCTATCTCAGTCTGTTCATCATCTATCTCATCTTCTCCTATCTATCTATCTCAGTCTGTTCATGTCTATCTATCTATCTCATCTATCTCAGTCTGTTCTGTTCATGTCTATCTATCTCAGTCTATCTATCTCATGTCTGTTCATCTCTATCTATCTCAGTCTCATGTCTATCTATCTTCATCTCATCTCCAATCTATCTATCTATCTATCTATCTCAGTCAGTCTGTTCTATCTGTCTGTTCTGTCTATCTATCTATCTCAGTCTGTTCATGTCTATCTATCTCCTCAGTCTGTTCATGTCTATCTATCTATCTCAGTCTGTCTGTCTATCTTCTATCAGTCTGTTCATCTATCTCTCAGTCTGTTCATGTCTATCTCTCATCTATCTATCTATCTATCTCAGTCTGTTCATGTCTATCTATCTATCTCAGTCTGTTCATGTCTATCTATCTATCTCAGTCTTCATGTTCATCTCTATCTCATCTATTCTATCTCAGTCTCTTCTATCTCAGTCTCTTCATGTCTATCTATCTATCTCAGTCTCTTCATGTCTATCTATCTATCTATCTCAGTCTGTTCATGTCTATCTATCTATCTCAGTCTGTTCATGTCTATCTATCTATCTCAGTCTCTTCATGTCTATCTATCTATCTCAGTCTGTTCATGTCTATCTATCTATCTCAGTCTGTTCTATCTATCTCAGTCTGTTCATGTCTGTCTATCTATCTCCCAGTCTGTTCATGTCTATCTATCTATCTCAGTCTGTTCATGTCTATCTATCTATCTCAGTCTGTTCATGTCTATCTATCTATCTATCTCAGTCTGTTCATGTCTATCTATCTATCTATCTCAGTCTGTTCATGTCTATCTATCTATCTATCTATCTCAGTCTGTTCATGTCTATCTATCTATCTATCTCAGTCTGTTCATGTCTATCTATCTATCTCAGTCTGTTCATGTCTATCTATCTATCTCAGTCTGTTCATGTCTATCTCTATCTATCTCAGTCTCTTCATGTCTATCTATCTATCTATCTCAGTCTGTTCATGTCTATCTATCTATCTATCTCAGTCTGTTCATGTCTATCTATCTATCTCTCTCTCTCTGTTCATATCAATGATTATTCAACTGTTCCTCATCATTTTATCTTTATTTTGATTGTTTTTATCTAAATGTAATTACAAAAATGCTTAAAATATATTGTATAATGAACTCCTGGGTGCAGTTAATTAAGCTTTGAAAATTGCTGAGCTAATCAAATTCATATTAATTAAATATTTGCAGTAAATTCATTATTCACAAGCTCCAGCCATTTTGTTTTTTATATCACCCAATATGTTAGCATCTCTATAAAACTGTATGAGATTCAATTTTAGATGTACATTAATTAAAAATTGGTTACAAATTAAAATCCATACTAAACCAAGAAAGTTGTATTTTTGACAATATTTTGGCTGTTCTGGTTAACAAGCATTTTCTGACAGAGCCCCCCCCCCTCCACATTATGTATGGGGAAGCTTGTAAAGTTTAACTGCATGTACACACTCACATCAAACATTTCACATTCCTCTTCCATTTTTGGAACTGGAGTAGAAGTTTATCCTTTGTTTCAGTTGTAGGATTGTTTCAGTTCATTCCAAAGTCCTCCATAGCTCCATCTCAGTCTCCTAACATCTTGTTCATTCCTCTATCCTAGTCTGTTCATGTTCATCTATCAAGGCAACATCTAGTAACGTTCTGTCTTGCTTGAGTGGTTTTAGGCCTTCTTCAGTCTAGTTGAACATTAGTAAAAGGAAACAAGAAATACTGAACTAAGAAAGTTATAATCTTGACAACATTTTCGCTGTTCTGGTTAAAAAGCATTTTCTGACACTGTCCTCCTTGCCAATGGCAATTTTAAAAGTTCAACTCCCCAGTCCTTCCATGTATACATTCACGTCCTTCATGTTTCTATCTATCCATCCCAGTCTTTTGAAGAGGAGTAGAGGTATCCTTGTAAGTCTATTTCAACTCCATACTCCTGACACTTGTTGTTTCTATCTATCTCAGTCTAATATCTATCTCAGTCTGTTCCACATCAGTAACGTCTGTTACATCTTGATCCTGGTTCTATGCCATTCATCTATTGAGTGAAATCTATCTAAAAAAATCAAAAAATCTTCAAGTTTGTCTATTTATTTTGCTTAGTTTTGTTTATCCCAGTCCGTATATATCAACTCATCTATGGGTTGTTTAATAACAACATTTTTATGATAGATTCTGTATGAATAGAATATGTATTCTTTGGTTTAGATTGGTTTTTTATTTTGTTTTTTTCCATATCAACCTCAATGGGTTATTTAATGTCGATAACATTTTAGATAGATTGGTATGAATAGAATATGTATTCTTTGGTTTATCTATTGGTTTGGTTTATTTTATTTTACGGGGTATCAACCTCAATGGGTTATTTAATGTCGGCAACATTTTTAGGATAGATTCTATGAATAGAATATATATTCTTTGGTTTAGATTGGTTTGGTTTATTTTGTTTTACGGCATATCAACCACAATGGGTTATTTAATGCCGGCAACATTTTTAGGATAGATTCGTATGAATAGAATATATATTCTTTGGTTTAGATTGGTTTGGTTTTATTGCTGGTGATATTTTGTTTTGTCAAAAATCTGTTTCTGGTGATATTTTTCCTTCAAAATTGTATTGCTGGTAATAATCTTTATCAAAAATGTATTGCTGGTAATAGTTAACTATTTGCCCATAGCTGGGACCCTAACAGGTGCTACCACCTCGGGTCAGGGTGGACCTGGGAACACTGGCAATTAAGAAGTGGTTCCACGTTCCTCAAAACCTTCTGATCAGAGGCCTTGCTGCTGGACGTAGTTTATCGTCTTACCCAGGACACAGATGTAGTTTAACGTCTTATCCAGGACATGTCTATGTTGGTACTTGATGCCTTTAAAATGAGTTTAATACATAAAGACTGTTGCCCATGTATGCAAATATTACATATGACTGTAACATTAAATAAATTCAGATTTATTTTTTATAGCAACCAGCATGTGTTTTATATCCTGCCCAACTTAGCAGTAACTAGCTTGCATATGCAGCTTTTATTAATGGTTTTGTGGTTCAATCCCAAGCTTGTCTTTTCTGATTGGCTTATTAAATTGCACAGTTATTGAAGTAAAGCAGTTTTTTGTCCTGGAAATCTCAGCTGGGAAAGTAGTAAACTAGGTTTTCTCTCTGGAAAATGGTAACTGCCTGTGCATTTCAATCTCAGCTTGTGAGGTTGTAAAGCAATGTTTTCAGTCCTGGAAATGGTAACTAGCTGAGAATTTCACTCCCAGTCTGGGAGTAAGCCATGTTAATATTTTTTTAATAATATATTTTGAAAATGATAATATAACGTGCCATATAAAAAATAAACATCTATCAAAATGTTTCAACCAATGGAACTGCTTTCATTACAGGAAAGTCATACCATTTAACAGCACCATGGAAAGTAAAATGTTTGTTTGTTTCATTCATTCATATTTGACTGTGTATCAACCATTTGCAGGTTATTTAAAGCCAGAAAATATTTTTAGATTGTAAGAGAATTTTATTTTATTTTTTATTTATATTTTATTTTTTTATTTTCATGTTTTTTTTTAATATTTTTTAGATAATAATGTTTATAGTGATACAAATCTTAATAATTAACCCATAGACTTTCTTGGGGGTATTTACATATAAATGATCATAATGAACCTAACAGGAATTGGAACACAGTACTCCATTACACCACCTGCACATTCAAGATTACAGCATGTAGTATTTCCAAACCATCTAGGTACTAACCAGACTCAACATTGCTTACCTTTGGTGATCATACAGAAACCAGTGTTTCAACATGATGTGTCCGTAAGCCATAAAATGTTTAGGCCTGTGCAATGCCACGTATTGTGTGTGTGTCTCTCTCTCTATTTGTAATGGGGGGTGGGTATTTATTTTTGTTTCCTATACTTGTATGGGAGGAGTAGCGATTTCATTCACATTGCAGTTTTTGGCTTATTAATCAAATAATAACACCTTCTAAATCTTAAGTATTATCTGAAAGCAATTGGAACCATCATTGCTACAGATTGTTTCCACAGAATCTTAGTCCTTGTAAAAGAAAAATTCTAAGAATACTAGAATGGAAATAAATTAAAAAAAACTGACAAAATATCCATTATCTGTCATATTCATGGAAATCAGTGTTTCTCCAACCGATTTTGGGCCATGCCCAAATTTGGTATTTCTAAAATTCTTTATATAGTGAACGGGGCTAGATTGTTCTAGTTCCACGTGCCATGCCTTTTCTGGATATGTCAGTTTTCAATTAATTCCCTTTAGCAATCACTTTAGTAGTTTTTGTTCCCTCAGCTGTGTCCAGTTATTGAACACACACGTTTGTAATTACTTCAACCTTTTATCCACTGCACTGTGTAGAACTGGAACAATCTACCCCTGTGGACTTAAATGGTTTGGTTCAAAATTCCAGCATATATCATCTGAAGAAGGCCAAAGCGTACAATAACCGAAACGTTGTGAATACAACAATAAAGATGAGGACAACAGCCTGAACAATGTAAATAGTTGTATATATATTATATATATAAAGGGATATATATATATATATATATATATATATATATATATATATATATATATAATTATACTTGTCTGGAAAATTTTAGGTGTATTGGTTTGTAAATGAACAAACCAATACCCAAGGAAAAATAAGAATAAAAAAATAAAGAACTAAGAACATGTAATTGAGGTGAAAACAATGGTCCAGAATTCAAATTCAGAGTCCAAAGAAAAAAAACTCCCACACGAGTAAAATAAAAATAACTAAGCAAAGTGCTCAAAACACTAAGTAGAACAAATCTAACTATGAACCTAAAGAGCGAGACAAACCTACCTAGGTTTTGCCTACACGGAACATCAGGGTACCCTGACGATTCACATAGGTGAAACCTAGGTTGGCTTGCCTGGCTCTTTAGTTATATATATATATATATATATATATACACATTTTTTTTTAGTCTCAATTTTTTACGATATTAATTAAAATCATAAAATAAATAAAATTATTTACTGAATATTTTCTAATCATAATCTGATTAAAATGATTTTTCTTTTTTTTTTTTTTTTTTTTTTCTTCATATCATTGCTACATCATGAGGGGGTGCTGAAAAGGCTTCAAACTGAATAAAAAGGGATTACAAAAAAAACTAAAGAAAACACTAGATATTTGATTATTCAGCATAGTGGGTCAGCGCAAGAACTTTTCAGCACCTCCTGTTGTTATGTAAACCACCCTTAGCACCACCACCACCTCCAATGGAAGCTAATGTATATTATACAAAAGAAATATTTTTCAGCAAGAACAAGATTTTTTTTGTTTTATTTATTGGTGGTTATTGTAGTGGCATAAAACAAAGCTCTTCTGAAATTAAAGAACTAATTATTAGCCATTAATTAATTTCTGTTATTTTGGTCATTAGTTGTTCTGAAGTCGCGTCTGTGTTCTGACTGAAACCCCCCCGTCCCCAGATTTATTATAGTTGTCACTGCTCATCTGGCATCTCTATCCCCAGCCTACATGTTTGGATTATCAATGTCTTGACTATCCACATCTCCAATCCAGCCACTGCCCCCCCAAACTCTCTTCCGCTACCAAGGCAGACTCTCCTTCCTGTTCAACTGCATCTTCCATGCCTGAGCCAACTGGAACCGTCCATGTCCACCAAACTGCCCTTGTCTTTCACAGACCATCTCAGTCCGTTCACGTTCAATATATTTTCTTCTTCCCTCCTGCAATCACTTGCAGCCATCTCCCAGGGAACATCCTGACCCCAGTCCTGTCAATCCATCCCAGTCTTATCCATGCATCCATACGGATAATTGCATCCCAGTCCGTCCATCCATCCATCCACATCCCACCGCTACGTCCATCCATATCCCATGTAATTAATCCATCCATCCCCAGTGATGACAGTCTATGGCCACCCAGTTTGTTCATCCATCTATCCCAAGTATGCATCCATCCCAGTCCGTTTCTGAAGCCATAGTCAGGGTTTGTCCCAGTGAATTCAAGTCCGTTCACGTCCATCCATGGAGAAAAAGATTTTTGATGCAAATTAAGCGACCTCTTCAACTGGGATTCATTCCAAGTTTTCTTGTTTCCCATTGTAATTAGCTATTTGATATTTATACTACCTGGATTTTACAAGTATATGACTAGCAATTCGATAAGTGCATCTTTTGTTGCGTGATTTTTTGTTTTCTTTCTTCAGATATTGCCAATATTTAATGTGTATATAATATTTTACATGTAACATCTTCTACATCTTTTACACGCGACATCTAGTACATCTTTTACACGCGACAGCTAGTACATCTTTTACGCATTACATTTTTACATCCTTTACACATATTTTTTTTTTTACATCTTTTGCATGTTACATCTTCTATATCTTTTAAAAAGAGGAAGCCCATGGTGCACAACAGCCGAAATATTGATAAAAATAACAAAGATGAGGATAATAGTCAAAATATAAATAGTGTAAATAAGAAAAAAATTAATAAAAAACATTTTCTTATTGTTGCTGATAAGATTGTGTTTTTTGATAGTTGAAAAGTACTTTAGAAATAATAAAAAACAAAAATTGGGTACATTGAACAATTTCTTTATAAATTTGATCTGGATATATGATTGCTTATATGCAAACTAGAATTTTTTTTTTTTTTAATCATATCATCCAATGCAAGGCAATAAAGCCACTAAGACGCAAAAGGCTACTGATTGTGAAAGAAAAGAAAAAGAAACATTAAGGAAAGAGAACAATAGAAGAGTAATCAAGAAAACAGTAGATAACAATTTGTGTTTTGAATGCCAAAGAAAATGTATTAAACAAGAAAACTTTGCTGCCTAAATTCAATGAAACACATTTGAGTGAATTCTTTCTGTCTAATTATATGTTATAGATACGCAAGCCATTTAAATTAATGTCTAAATTTGCTAAAAAGGTTCGCATGTAAGAGAAATTACTTTTCACCATTATAGTTTGTGTTGTTGACATGTCACCGTTTTAAAACAGTCTTTGTAAATTCTTTCTTGTACTTATGCGAGCATTAAGAAAAGTCGAGCCTGATTGCTAAAGTTCTCGTGTGCACACTGACAGTAAGATGTCCATTAAAATTCCATTTCTACCTGATCACCGACATCTGTCTAATTGCCGAGCAAATGCACTTAGAAGTTTATAAGCATCTCTAAAAATGATAAGCTTCTTCAGTTTTTCTTCTCTTTCTCTCGTCTCCTCTCTCTCTCTCTCTCTCTCTCATTCATATTTAAGCCTGAACTTTTGTAGTTATTCAAAAGCATATAACAAGCACTTTGGTGTTTGCTTTCTTCATTTTTATCATTAGCTACTTGTTTCGGCGGGTTTGCCGTCATTGAGCATTACATCTGGTTTCGTTTCTTCTCCCTTTGTTTAATGTCTTTTTTTTTTTTTTTCCATCCTTTTCGCTAAGACCGTTTTGTTCATTAGAAATTGGTTCTTTCAGATCTTGCTTTTTAGCAGGTCTTATATAAATAGGATTACAATCAGGTAAATCGAAAAGAACATGAGATAGTGTTAGAGTTTATGTCAAATTGTAATTATTTGACCATCTACAGAGTGGTCTGTGGCTTTTGAGAGCATCTTTTTTACTTTTATTGTTTTCACTCGTAAGTACAGAAGGTTTTCTTTTCTTTTTTTTTTCTTTCTTATTTTTAATACAAGCTCTAGATTTTATCTATTATTTATTTATTTTAAATTATTCCTTCTTAAAAAAAAAAAAAAAAAAAAATTAGCTTTTGTAAGACATTCCATAGCTGTGAAAACAAACTTTACAACATTAAATTCATTCTTGGCGAAGTCCTGGGTATGACGATAAACAACATCTGGCAGCAAGGCCTCTGATCGGGAGGTTTTGTGGAGCCTGGAATCACCTCTTAATTGCTGTTATTCCCAGGTCCATCCTGACCTGGGGTGGTAGCAACTGTTAGGGTCCCAGCTATGGGCAAATAATAAGCACCCCAAACAAAAATAATATGAAAGTATAAAATACATTTTTATAGTAAAAATACTAGCATTTTTATATAAAAAAGACTGACAATGCATGACAGCAATACATTTTATCTGTAGTTGAAGGCATACAATTGTTTTCAAAGTATATTTAGTTGAAGCCATAAAATTGTGTTCAAATTATTTAGATTTCAGCATTAAATAACCCATAAGTGGTGTTGATATGCTGCAACCAAATCATTCTAAGAGAAATGCATCATGGTCTCAGACTTTGTCAGAAGGAGGAAGTTGTCCTATCAAAAATTAGAATATGACACACCCTATAATCACTCAATGTTGATTGTGGCTGTATTCATAGCGTCAATATGAATGATCTTTTTCTTATTTGCATAATATATGCTTTGCCAGGGCGACATACAGTTTTGAATTCAGAGTTTTCCTTTTTCTAGACTGGTTGTCACCCAAGGCTATAGAACCCAGTCTTTCCTGTTATCTACCCATAGCTGGGTGGGGGAGGACTCGTACCTCTCTCTCAAGGGTTTTAGTATGTAAGTGAATGTAATGAGCTGGACTATAATTCAAACTTGGCTCTCCAATTCCTCAGTTCAAGTCGCAATTCATTATGTATATTGATGTAGTCAATAGAAATTCCTCCAATCAAGAATCAGAATAAAACACACCCATACCACTTTCTCATTTCTCCTAAAAATAAGGAACACCTTTTTGATTGCACAGCATGTCAAGAGGTATATACCGATTGTAGTGACCTTTGCCCCAATACATCAATGATTTTAGGACATAACAAGTCTAGAGGACTTTTTCAAGAAGATAAAAGCAGAGATTATCCAAGCCTACTTGAAGGAAGTTGGTCTATATCCTAAATTATAGCACTAAATAACTTTTAGTGGCATAACTGGAGGGTGATGGAATCAACGACCCAAAGGAGTATTTACAAGCCACATATTTAAAAAAAAAAAAAAATTTTTTTCATCATTAAATAACCTTGATATTATTAGATATTTTTAATCATTTCCCTGCAAGTAAGGCAATAAAGCCACTAAGACACAAGGAGTTACTGAGTGTTAGAAAATATGAATGAAAAAAAAACACATTATTAAGAAGAGAGAACATTGAAGAACAAGAATTAAGAAAAAAGTAGATGACGATTGACGTTGCATTTAAATTTTTGAAGATCAAAGTTGACTTGGAAGCAAGAAACCAGAAGAGAGGTCCACAAATGAGAAGTGTGAGAAATGGTCAAAGTTTTAAAACTTTTACTCTGCGTACACCCTCACATCTAATGTTTCACACTCCTCCCTGATCTTTTGAACAGGAGTAGAGGTTTCCTTGTTTCCTGTTTAGGATTCAGTTTGCAGTTTTCCTTCTGAAAATCTACTTCAGCTCTTATACTCCTAACACTTGTCGTTTCTTATGTTCATATAACTCCACTCAGTAGCCCTCTACCTTGAGTAGCTCTTGGGCCTTGTATTGGGTGAACATCAGAAAAAAAAAGAAAGCATTAGTATAGAACTTACAGTTACATCTAGCTATTTCAACTATAAAATGATGAGACCTAGCAGCCAATCTAGTACTGAACTTAAATTCCTAAAGAAAGCCTAGGTACCAACAAGGAAAGTTCATCAGAATATTGAAACACTGGTTACTGAACAATCACTAAAGTTAAGCAATATCGAGCCTGGTCAATACCTAGAAGAGTGACCACTTGGGAATACCAGGTGCTGTAAGTTTGGATGTGCAGGTGGTGTAATGGATAATTGCTTGGAATTGTTAATTGGAGAACAGAGTTCTGATTCTAGTTCAATTTGTTATATTCACTTGCATGCAAATACCCTTGGGAAAGGTATGAAACCACCTCTTCTCCTCCCAGCTATGGATTAAATAGTAAGACTTATATCACTAAAATCATTATCATCCCCCCCCACCTCCAAAAAATAAATCTAAAAATATTTTTTGGCTTTAAATAACCTGCAAAGGGTTGATAAGCCATAAAGAACAAATCAATCCATGAAATACTGAGTAGATACACAGGCATGTCTTTTAGATTTATTTACATTCTCTGGAATATAAATGTACAGAAGCTACTGTGGCAACAAAGTGAGGAGTTTGTTTATATATTGCCTGTAATATAGAATTGATCCCTCGCTTTATATCCACATATTATTTTTTTGTTTATCAGATTCAGATTGGGTATGAATCCACCTCTTATCCCCTTCAGCTATGGGTTAATTAGTAAGACTTGTATCACTAAATCATTATCTCCAAAAAAAAAAAAAAGAAAAAAAAAAGCAATCTAAAAATATTTTCTGGCTTTAAATAACCTGCAAAGGGTTGATAAACTATAGAAAACGATTCAATCAATGAATAGCTCTAAAAAAGAAAGTATTAAAAAAAATACTTTGACATATTTTAGTATTAGATTGAAGTGGTATTACAAGTGATAGCGTTTTCTTTCATACTATTCCTGTAGCAAATGTTCAGATGAGCGTTCCATTCTTTCATTCCACCACTTCAAACTTTTACTGCTAGGACATGCCACTTCCAGAGTCGAATCACCCTCATTTCCCCCTTATTCCAAATGTAAGAAGAAACTATCACTTAGACACCTTTTTTTTTACCCCTAAGAACTGCCTCTTTGTGGAACAAACTCCCACATGAGTGCTTCCCTGAACATTTTAATCTTCACCTTTTCTCATCCTTATTTTCATAATCTATGCTTCATGCCACTTCAATTCCTAGGTGCTCTCGAGCCTTGTATTGGGTAATATCTAGTAAAAAAGAAATTGCTGTTTCTGTCATTACTGTAAAAACCAGTCCTTGTCTCTCTCTCCCCATTTTTAAAGATTACATTTTACAACACAAGTATGAAAAATTTGTGGCTTTTTAAAATTTTTGTCTATATTTCTGAGATGAGGTATTGTAATTATTTCCATTGTTCGGACTGTTGTCCTCATCTTTATTGCCATATTCACAATGTTTCGGCAGTTGTATGTTCCAGCCTTCTTCAGGATCTTTCTATATTTCTGAAATGAGGTATTGTAATTATTTACATTGTTCGAAGTGTTGTCCTCATCTTTATTGCCACATCCACAACATTTCAGCTGTTGTACACTCCGGCCTTCTTCAGGATCTGTCTATATGAGGTATTGTAATTATTTACATGATTTACATTGTTCAGAGTGTTGTCCTCATCTTTATTGCCATATTCACATTTCGGCCGTTGTGCACTTCGGCCTTCTTCAGGTGGTTGGAATCTTGAACTGAAAAATTTATTTTGTCCACTGGAGTAGATTGTTCTAGTTCCACGTGCCATGCCTCTTCGAAATGTCTCAGTTGTTTTTAAAATGTTTAAAAGTTTTATTTAGATGCGGGTGATGGAGCTAGAAGATAAACCCTCCAAAATATACGTTTTTGTGCTTTTGACCTGTGTGAATTTGTAATATGGATTTTCCTACAAGCATAGAAATAGGGGTCATTAGTCATTGTATGATGTAAGATGTCAAGTGTATTTGTATATAATTTTGTTGTTTGTGATGCATGTACCCTGTCGGTGTATAGAGTTATCTCCCTTTTATTAGACAGGATGCGCGTAGGTAGAGAAAATTTTCCCTTTCATCTTTATTCATGCTGACTTTTTTTAACAGATATATTTTATTTTATCTGAATTTTTACACAAACCTACACACTCACACACAGATATCTATATAGAGACACTTACGCATTTATACGCACACACACACAGATATTGGTTCAAATTCACTCGCACACAAATATATATATGCACACACACTTGCACACATATACCTACCTATATATATATATATATACACACACAAATATCTATCTATCTATCTATCTATCTATATATATATATATATATATATATATATATATATATATATAGAGAGAGAGAGAGAGATACTGAATATATAGATATATATATAGAGAGACACACACACAGATAGGTATATATATACACAGACACACAGATCTCTGCACACACACATGCACTTCCACACATTTATCTATATGCACACAGACATACTCATGCACAGATATCTACACACACACACACACAAGATTTCTATCTATATACACACACACTCGGACACAGATATTTATATATATATATACACACACACACACACACACACTCAAGTCTATATACACATACACGGGTAAATTACAAACACAACGATCTTGGAAAAGATTGAAAGTACTAGGATAGGAAAAAAACTAAAACGCCTTCTTTGATGAATTTTATCTTAACATCAAGAAA